GTTTATATTGTACTGTGATTTCCTTTTTTTTTTTTAAAGATTTTATTTTTAAGTCATCTCTACACCCGGTGTGGGGCTCAAACTCACAGTCCCGAGATGGAGAGTCGCACACTCCCCCGACCGAGCCAGCCAGGCGCCCCCATACCATGATTTCTTGCCTGTTTCCTTCAACAGATGTGAATGAAACCCACGTGACACAGGGTCTGGCACAAAGCTTTGCTCAATAAATGCTTATATAATGAATATCGGGTTCATCAAACCCTTATTAAACACCAACTGTATGCCAGCCCTGTACTCTGTTTTTAACGTGAATCAAAGTCAATATATTTATTTCTTTTTTTAAAGATTTTATTTATTTATTTGACAGAGAGAGACACAGTGAGAGAAGGAACACAAGCAGGGGGAGTGGGAGAGGGAGAAGCAGGCTTCCCGCGGAGCAGGGAGCCCGATGCGGGGCTCGATCCCAGGACCCTGGGATCATGACCTGAGCCGAAGGCAGACGCCTAACGACTGAGCCACCCAGGTGCCTCAATATATTTATTTCTAAATATATAAAAGTGAATGAAAAGCAATGAGCTTATTTTGTTGGTTCCTTAGCAGACCTGTATCCAGACTAGTGCTATGTCCTTCCAAGAGACAGTCTCTTCAAATTCTCTAGAACTTCTCTTTGGGAAAAAACCCTCCATAGCCCATAGCACATTCTTTGGAATCTTCTTAGGAAGGCCTTTGTTTCCTGAAGGGAGAGTTGATTTTTGGAAACAGCTAAAAGCCACTTGGCAGCAAACCTTGTGAATGAGGTGGGTGATGAAGCTGAAGAACATTATTTTTGGTTCCAAACAAGGTGTGACTATAAAGAAATGAGGCTAATTTTTGTATATGGTACATAAACTGGCTCGAGAACAATTTCAAAAGAGGACTTTCAAACGCGTGGCCTTGGCAAGAAAAAAGTCTCCACCCTAGTACACACACACACACACACACACACACACTCACACGACACATGGTGTCTAGTGTCTGCCCCAATATACAGACAAGTAAAATCAAAAGCCCTTGGGATTCAGCTTTAAAAAATCAACTACAGAAGTCTGGGATAGAAGAGACCCGGCTTGGCCGCCATTCTTGCAAAAACCTCTGGGGGTTTCCGTTGGCCCCAAGCTCATCCTTCAGGCGGTGTGTACGGTGGCTTCTAAGCAAGCGTCCGAGTTCTAGGACTGCTCTGGTGGAGGCCTTGGGCTTCTGTGGAAACATAAGCACCCAGGTTCCATCGTGCTAGGGCTCCAGTGGCCCCGTGGGCTCAGCGACCAGCAGGACAGCACACGAGGACCATGGACCCGCCGGAGCGCAGAGCAGGGCTGAAGGGGCTGAAGGAGCTGTTGGGAACAGCAACGAGAAGACAAATCCTCAAACGGGCAAGAGTCAGTGACTGAAAACTATTGTTGAAGAACAGCTGTGTGAAGAGTGGTGGTAGCTTCATTTCATGTTGGCCTTTCTGGATGAGCCAGGACCCGTGGGTGAAAATTCGAGGAAGGCTGACTTAGGTTTAACCTAATAAAGCCTGATTCGTGTTATGGAATTGTATGTTTGGTATCATCTCATGGGTGTGAATATACATATATGGAGAAAGAAAGCCTAGAAGGATATAGATAAAATGTTTAATAGTAAATATCTATGGGGGATGGAATTGCGGGATACATGTCGTTTCTAAAACTTTATATAATGCTCTATTAGTAGAATTTTTATTATCTATACGTATTTGTTTTGAATAAAATAAATCTGATAAAAATTGGAGGTGTCCAGCAACTGATGGGCTGCTCTGTGAGCCAGTGAGAGCCCTGCCTCTGGCAGTCATCAAACAAAGATGGTGGGATGAGCCAGCAGGTGTTTTCCAGCCTAGGGAATCCCCAGGTTATTCCCTGATTTAACCTTGTTCAAGTACCAGAGTGGAGCTGCTGGATGTTGACACATGCATTCAAATGAGAAGGAGGCCTAGAAACTTCCAACACAACGGGACAGCTTCCCAGCTGCCAGGCCTGTTCTAAGGACCAAATAGTCATCTTACTATAATTCGTGTGTAGGACGTTTAAATCAGAGGGTAGAATAAACAGTTCAAAAATGAAAAGCCACTAGCTGTGAAACTGGATTCTGAACTAGAGGAAGAAAAAATATAGAAGGGCAGGGAAAGGCATGGGTGGAAAGTGAAAAGAGACTGGCTATTGGGTAAAACAAAATGTCGATAAAAGATGGCGGAGTGTCCATGGTTTGTCATGGGGTATGGTTATTCATTTTCATCCCAACCACTTAGCTGAAGCCAGCAGGCTATGCATATCCCAGAAGAGGTGTCTTCCACCCCACCATTCAGCCTTGACAGACCCAAGCTGGTAGACAGTGTACCAAAGACAGCAGACACACTGGCTGGCTCGGGCCATGTTCTGGGCACTGAAGTATGTCAAATATGACCTCAGGCTGGAGAAGTCCTAAGACGGGAACAGCACATACGTGACACCAGCACCAGGCAAGACAACGATGCTACGACATTGGAGCAACAAAGAGCCCAGGCATCTTGTCCTGACTCTCCCCTTTACCAGACGGAGCCCGCTTGAGATTCTTCCTCTCCCTCTCCTTCTGCCCCTGCCCCTTAAAAAATAAAATAATAAAATAAATCTAAAAAATAAATACATTAAAGGGCACCTGGGTGGCTCAGTCGTTAAGCGTCTGCCTTTGGCTCAGGTCATGATCCCGGGGTCCTGGGATCGAGCCCCGCGTCGGGCTCCCTGCACCGCGGGGAAGCCTGCGTCTCCCTCTCCCACTCCCCCTGCTTGTGTTCCCTCTCTCGCTGTGTCTCTCTGTCAAATAAATAAAATCTTAAAAAAAATAAATACATTAAAACATAAAAGCTGATAATCCCTTTCGCCTCCCAGAGAGGAAGAACGGACGTTAGAACAGTCCTCGCCTGCCTGCAGGCATAAAACCTGGTCTCAGAACCACAAATTCTTTTTGCCACATTAAATAAAAACCTTCCTGAAGAATGACAGGAACGATTATTAGGCGAGAAGTCGGCTCTAGTTCTTTCTTCTGGCCTCCGTGCTGTTGTAATACCACCCTCCGGGGCCCAGGAGCAAACCTGCCCAGTATTTAGGTTTCCTGAATCCAAGAACAAAGATTTGTACAAATCCCATCCAAAGACAGAAATAATGATGGTTTGAAAAACAAAGATAATTCCCTTTCCAGTCTTACCAACGGCTACAAATCACTGAAATTATATTAATAAATACAACTGATTATAGTCTTCAACAAAAGCAACGGAAGGAAACACTAAACCAAACATTTCCAATTTGTGTTTGTGAGAATTTCTGCAGAGAACGAAAATAAATGTTGGAGCCCTGTGGTCCACAGGACACCCTGCCAGAAGTGTGTTGGGGACAGCAGGAGCAGGGGACGATAAGTTGTGAGTAATGACACCTCTTGCGTCTCGCATGGTGACCTCTGGCCATCAGACAGAAATTGGAGATCCTGGCTGGAACCACCTTCTAGAATCAAAGGGGACTCTCCGGTCCCTTCCTTGACCTTTTTCGCGCTCCTTCACGGTGGCTCACCCTCTCTTTCTCATACTCATTCAGCTTCTCCTGTCGTTGCCCTCAGGTGGGAGTTGAGTTCCTGCTCATTGGAAAGAATCAATAACGTTTCTGTTGAAAAAAACCCAAATGTTTCTGTTGACCTCACCTGGCAAATGAGCCACATGCTAGGCATTGTGACAGCGGCAAGTTGGTTATTCCTGAGGTTCTTTGGCAGCAGCACGTCCAGATATCCGCATCGGCGCCATGATGGTTTGTGATGTTGCACATATAAGACCCAGATTTCAGTGGGAACACCGGCCTACAATCGGCAAAGAGCTGGTAAGGCGTGTTGGTGCCAGACCGTCCGCTCCAGGAGAACAGGGACTAAATATTTGTTTTCTCCTGCCTCCATGTCTGGTACAGTACCTGATGTGCAACAGGTACACAAAACCTCGCTGTCAAGGATACAAGTGTTGAAGAAACCCACCTGTAGCCAAGAGTGGATGCGGTCGCTTGCTGTAAATCAAGGCTTTCCCGATGCCCACCTTTGCAGCTTGACCCAGGGTGACTGTTGGCCCCGCCATGGGCCTGTCCCTGGAGAAGAGTGACAGACGACAAGCCCAAGACAGTAGCAGAGAAGCTTGGGGAGTTAGTTCTTCGCACAATTACTCTTTCTTGGGCCTACGTCTCTTGGGTTGGGGGAAAGGAAGGATGGTAATCGTGTGATTGAACGTGACCCAAACGGAGGGTTTCTCTTTGGGCAAAGGACTTTCAGCAAAGGGAAATTTGTAAAGAGAGACAGGGGAACTTTTTGAGATACCTTTTGTTCATTGGCAAGAACACTCTAACTCAAGATTTCCACGTGGAGATTAGGCACTGGGAGTGTGTTGGGAGGGGGGCTTGGACCGGGGCTTGGGGCCAGGATTGATCCCCCAACAACAGGTAGGCAGGGAGGTAGGGTTGAATGACCTCATTGACGCCCGATGGGATTTTTCCCATACTGAACAGAAAGCTAGGTGAGGGGGAGGAAAAGCACCGCGTGGTCACCATGTATGAGGGCTTACAAAAAAAGACCCAGTGCACTTTTATTTGAACATTTATTTATTTTTTTCCAAAGAAATCCATGCAAAGGGAAAGAGGAAGAGAGAGAAAGGGAGACATGGTAACCATGTTCTAGCAACCAAACATAGGAAAATAATTTGGCACAACTTGAGTTTTTTTCTTTGCAAAAAGACGATCTACACTACCACTAAAATTTACCTTCCTCAAAGACACCATTGATTTTCGAAAACACAACACATGGTTGGTCTTCTACTTAATGGCTGGAGGAGGTATACAAGATAAAAAAAAAATAGAAAAAAAAATAAGAAGGTGGCTCCCTTTACAGAGGAAGGCCACGGGGTGCCGCCGGGCAGCATGGGCGCGAGCACTGGGAAGTCAGTGCACCAGTAGGAAGAAGCCCGCCACGTAGATGGCCAAGCTGGTGAGAACCTTCAGCGGGGAACAGCTGTTCCCCAGGTTGTGAGAGGCTGCTATCTCGTTGTCCTTCTGGTTCACGTGTTGCTTGCTTCCAGGTGTGTCATCCACGTCCAGATCGTAAGCCAGTTCTGCCGAAAGAAAAGAAGCATTTGAAATTCGGGATCCCCGACAGCATCAAGTGTCCGCTAGTCATGGCTCAAGCGTTGGTCTGGACCGCCGGGGCACCCCAGCTTTCGTGGAAAGGAAGGTGGTTGCCTGAGAAGGAGCCAGGGCTGGGTGCGTGGGGGGTCCTCCCGAGGAAAGAGGTGGCCAGAGGGGCTCCTTCCCGAGGTCACACCAAGGGCGAGAGGCTGGCTGCTCCCCTCTGCCCTTTGGCTCCACCCACCCACACCCCAGGGTGCAGGTCGGGAGCTGCGCGTCATCTCCTCCCTAGGTAAGGCTGTGCTTGAAGATCTCTTTCACCAGATCTCACTGGTATTGCACTGTAAGGTGCTGGGTGGGTGACTCTGTGTGCCTTTGCGTATGTGTGTGTCAGTGGGGCGGGGATGTGGTAGACCCCCCGTGTGCCTCTCCTGGGCCCTGCGCCCCACAGATTTTCTCCTGGAAGCCTCGCTTGAATTAGAGTCGAGGATAGGGTAGTTTGCCATTGAAAGTTGTTTTATTTTTCCCAAATATTTCTTCTTTGATTTATGTTGTCTTTTCATTTATCCCTTACTTAAACACATACACACACACACACACACACACACAGAGCATAATTGATCTAATGCATAGGATTTAAACTGATACCAAGCAAAGACCAAGGAGAGGCCGATGGGTAAGGGCTTTCCTTCTTTGACCACCTACCATTTATAGTATATGTTCATGATTCTGAAAAGAAATTGGGGTGTTGGCACTGGCCCAAGGCGAACGCCTCTCAGAAGGCACATCTGAGTAGATGGTGGTTTGTCAGGAAATTCAAGATGGCCAGCCCTGGCCCAGAGGTCAGCTTCCTTCCGCTTTGTTTTTCCAGATTTAGAACTCGGATCGACTCCCTTGGCTTTTCTAGACTCAGTTGCCAGTGTTTCTATTTCAATAGCTTGGGAAGGTGGGGTGATGTGAGTGCCCTCACCAGCCAACTGGCCTGTGGCCCCGGAGCCGGAAGGATCCCTCGGGGACACTGAGATACAGAGCAACAGGCATGTAGGAATGACTGGGATTCTACAGAGGGAAGGAAGGAAGGGGAAGGAAGGGCTCCTCTTACAAGGGATGAAACACTCAGCAAGTCACAGGAAGAAAGTGTGAGGACTCACTGGCCCAGGATGCGCGCAGAGCAGGGCCCGGGACCAGGGCTGCTTGGAGGCCAGCAACGGTTAGAGCAGGCAGCAAGGGCAAGGTGATCAAAGCCAGGGGGATCACACAGATTGCAATGCTCCTTTTCCAAAAGGGCTAAGGTAGTTTCTACTGCCCTCAGCAATGACGAGGGAACCAAATTTACGGGGCCTCAACTGGAAAAAGATATTGCAGTCAGCATAAGATAATATATCAAGGTTTCTTTAATTGCACGTATTTGATTACTACACAGATCAACTTTTTCCTCTGTCTTCGTTTACTAATTACATTTCTTAATGCATGACAGTTCATATCCTTTGCCTTTGTATCTGATGGGCATTAAGATTTTTCCTCTTAATTTGAACATAGGTTTTATTGACTCCTCTGTCATATTAAATACAAATAATGTTTCTCTTTTCTGGTTAACTATAACTAGTTTTCATTGCTGTACGAAGAAATCATGTCCTACCTTTTAATAGATACGAATCTGACTACTTTTTGCCTCTCTAAAGCTGAGAAAGTTGTTCTCCTGGAGTGCCAAGAAGAATTCAAATCAAATTTTCCGGAGAACCCTCTTACCCAGGGAAGAGCGACTCGGCTGACTCTCATCGGGATTCCCTCTCCCCATAAAATAAATACACACAAAGAAAAGAAAAAGAAGAGGAGAACAAAGAGCCGCGCTCTATTTGGAAGTCAGACCTCTTTCTCGGAAAGGCGAACTATGCGCAGCGCACAAGCAAAGGCCGAGGTCAGCACAAGCTCAGGTCACGATCGGATTTCACCAAGTTGAGAACACATATGGCTCTAGCTGTTGAAAGCCCAGCCTTGAGTCGCAGGGCAACTTCTCAACTTAAATGCAGAGGAGTATTTTTAGGGTGGACCTGAATGAGCGAACTCTTAGCCTTGCTTTCGGATTCCTTTTCTGGATATTCCCCTTGCCCAACAGCAAGATGTGCTATTTATCTTGCTCTTCAAATAATCCACGAACACTGGACAGTTTCACGTCCTAGAGCAGTTACGGTAAACCTAGCAGATGCTAAGCCCAGGAGTTTCGAATCTTCTTTGCCACCAAAGGCCTCGTTTGTTATTTCTATCTCTTGGACCCTATGTTTTGGAATTACAAAAATGACGACGAGTTACAGAGTCCTCGTTGTGGGCCAGGCACTGTGCTAAGCTATTTATATACATGATCTCATTTAACTTAACCTTCTCAACAATGTTGCAAGGTAGGCATTATAATTCCCATGTTACTGACAAGGAAGCTCCAACTCAGGTTCCTTTTTTGGCCCATATTTACCCAGCTGGTAAGTGACAGAGGGGCTGTTTAAATGCAGGTCCAACTCTGAACCTCATATGAAGCTATACCATCCCTTGAACAATTTTGTACATCAAATCAACTGTAGTGATTAAGTAGTAATGGATTTTTTTCTTGAAAAAAAAAATACTGCCTTGATTAGTAAAATATATATTGCCAAAGAGAACTCAAGAGCATGAGAAAAGTCAGTGTTTCCACATGAAAGTGATCACATACTTGACTGAGTAGCCTTATTAAGCTTTGTGAAATCCTGAGAAGAGCTCTGGGTTTGGGGACTGAGAATGAAAATTATGTCGCTTCCATTGCCTGAAGAAATCAGCAATGGGCCACCATCATGGAGATTCGAGATGAAGGGGACAGCTTAGCATGACAGTGAAGCATTATGGGAGACAGAGGAAATAGGGTTTGGGTCAAAGATAAATGGGGATATATTCCTGGACAGGGGAAATATAACCCAGTTTAATTCAACAAACTTAATGGTAGCCTACAATGTCCCAAGCATTGAGCTGGAAGGCTGGAGAGAGACTTAGTGCCTGCCTTCAGGAATCCCACACTCATCGCTTCTCGGCCTTTTGGCTAAGATCAAGTGTAGGAATCCCACACTCTGACAAGGAAAACAGACCAAGAGACAAACCAACTAGATACTTGGCAGAAGGTAGTAAGGGCTCAGATAAAGGCACAAGCAAAACACCGTGGGGAGAGAAAAATTCCAAACAGAACGATCTGGGAAGACTTTACAGAACAAGTGGGATATAATCGACACCACCAAGGATGGGTGGGACCATGGAGGAGCAGAATGAGATGGTTGTTCATTTCAGGCAGAGGGTTCAGCTTGAGCAAGATCGTCAATATCAGAGAGTGGAGGCAGGGCATGCTCAGTAAGAGCAAGTAGCCTCTATGATGGGAGGGAACATAGGGTGTACACTGTTGGGGGGTGTGTGTGTGTTGCATGGTGGGTGCTAAGAGGTAAGGCAGGAAGGACAAGTAAGGGCCAAATCACGGTGGATTGGGAATGCTAAGACTTTACTCTGTGGGAAACAGGGAGCCACTGAAGGTTTTTAAGTAAGAAACTCGCACAATCTGATTGGTGTTTTTTAGAAAGATCGTTGTTAACAGTTTGGAGGACAGCCCTAAGTGGGAGAGACTTGTCAGACATCTTGTCTTAGAAAAAAAGAAGAAGCCTGTGGGAACAGTATCTGGGGATCAGCCAGTAGCAAATATACATTTTTTTAAAAAACCTACAAAGGAGCTAAATCTACACCAAATCAAAACTTTCTCATTTTGCTACAAACCAGATCTATTATGGGAATCATCTTAAACCATTCCCTTTTAAGTCATTCATATTTTTATGTTTATCAGTGATTTTCCAGAGCATATCTATGCTGTATTAGGTACATACTGTAAAATGCACATAAATTGTTTCTACCTTACAGTTGACTGTCAGTGAGAACCAGCAAGGAGATTTTCACACAAAATCCAAAAATCGGTTTCTATTTGTAATCAGTTTGCCTATACCCAGAGGGTAGACCCAACAATCCATACTAATTAAACGCTCAGCCTGGACTCTCATTTTGACTTCCTTAGTGCTGCACATTAGATACTCTCTTTATATTTATTTATTTATTCACATTGGAACACTCATCATTGAAGTACTTTTATCTTATGTACAATGAGTTGGCATTAAAGTAGGTATCTTGGATATCTGCAGTTAAGGTAGGTATCTTGGAAGGATATCAAGGAAGTTCACATAATCCAACTTAATGAAGCCCATTTCCTTTGCGTACCGACGGACACACCGACGGACACATTGGCAGCACACTTCAAGGCCATATTTCTGGATCAGATGGTACCAGTTCGAGCAGACATGGCAAGAACAAGAACCCTGGCCGAATTTCCCCAGGGGGCTCCAGCAGAGCTGCTGGTGACCCATCTTGCTCTCTCGGATGCGCAGAGGCAAAAAAGGCTATTTTTTTAAAAAACTTTTTTAAGTAAACTCTACACCCGACGTGGGGCTCAAACTCACAGCCCAGAGATGGAGAGTTGCACGCTCCATGGACTGAGCCAGCCAGCCGCTCCTAGATAATCCCTTTAAAATAAGCATCAGTCATCAAGGTCTGTACTTTGTGTTGAAAAGTTTTTCTGAGGGGCGCCTGGGTGGCTCAGCCGGTTAAGCGTCTGCTTTCGGCTCAGGTCATGATCCCAGGGTCCTGGGATCGAGTCCCGCATCAGGCTCCCTGCTCTGCGGGGAGTCTGCTTCTCCCTCTCCCTCTCCTTCTGTGTGTGCTCTCTCTCTCTAGCTCTCACTCTCTCTCAAATAAATAAAATCTTTGAAAAAAATTTAAAAAAAGAGAAGTTTTTCTGAGTTGGGCAAAACCCTCTGTGGGGAACCCTCCCGCCTTTAGTGGAGTTCCCAGGGAAGGCTGTCCCATCCTGATAGTCTGGGGCCCTGGGCTCCAGGCCCGGCTCAGCCACTGTCTGACACTTTCACCTTGGGCAAGTCATTTCCCTCTACTCTGGACTTCGGTGGCTCCATCTGCCCAAATCAAGGCGTTGGACTGGATGAACTCTACGTGTCCTTCTACTTTGAGTTCTCTCAGATTCCCAGGCTCTCGGGGCCCAGGGAGGGACAGAGTCTGCTGGGGGCTGCAATCTTCCTTCCACTCGCAGTAGCCCAGGGGCTGTCCCCAGCAGAACCTCCAGAAGCAAGTAGGGGGCAATCGGCTGCTTCTCTTGGACTCTTCATCAGCTACGGAATTCTGAATCCTCTTTCTTCTTGAGCTGGTCTAGTCTCGGATA